CTCACAGCAACCTCCAACTCCTGGGCTCAAGCGAGTCTCCTGCCTCAGCCTCCCAAGTAGCTGGGACCACAGGTGCCCACCACAATGCTCCACTATTTTTTGATTGCAGCCGTCATTATTGTTTGGTGGCTCAGACTGGATTCGAACCCACTACCTTAGGTGTATGTGGCTGGTGCCTTAGCCACTTGAGCCACAGGCGCCAAGCTAACTCCCTTTACCTTAATCAGAATCTCATCAGACTTTTCTTTCTTCCAGCCCTTTACAATGTAGGATATTTTTTCCCTCCACTTTGATGTTCTTTTCTTCTTAGACTTGGTCAGGAACCAGACTTTCAGCTGCTGCTTCTCAGGTCATTAAACCAATTTCTCCCCTAATCTCTGGGAATTTTATAGCCGGCCACCCCAGTTTGAATTCACACCTCTCTATTCTATTTCTTCATAGAGCTCTACTTAGATGTATTATTTCTGCCAGTGGGTGGATGCCAATTAGAATGTGACACCCTTGTGCCTATTACCTAACCACTCTGTTGCCTCAAGGATTTGTTATTTATGACACATGGCTCATTTTATTTCATTCATTTCCTGAAAATAATTCATAATCCTTGGGTGAGTGTATTTAGAAAGAGTAGACTGGTTTGAGGATTAGACAGACGCCTTGGGTTTTACCTGAAGAGCAGACTGGTTTGAGGATTAGACAGACACCTTGGGTTTTACCACTGGGGTGGTGGGCAGTTTTGCTAAGAGGCCTTGGCCTTCCCCATCAAGCTTTGTGGCCTCAGTTGTCTACATGCTAGTTCCAAGTTCAGAGCTCTCTGGACACTCTGGGGCTAGAAATGCTGGTTTCCAACTCTGTGGCTGCTTTCAATCTGTCAGCTGCCATAGCAGCTTTCCGTATTCATTCTGAAATGTTGGCATATTCCTATCCACTTGCCATCTTCCATGAATTCACTGAAAATTTCTCATTCTATGAGCCTCCTTTATGAGCATCTCAATTTCCATTTTTCTGTACCATGATGGGTTGTTCCTATCATTTCAGTGAGGTCCCACAGAGGGAAGGAAGTTTCTAGAACCAGAAGTTTAGTTTACTATTACAGTCAGCTGATTTAGCTACATTTCTGAAGCTGGTCATGAAATCAGAATATAAATTACCGACCCACTCAGTTTATAGGTCCGACTTGTTTGAGACACAGCCTTTGCTTCTCATGTCTGTATTGGGTACCCATCCTGGTTGTATTCCATGCTGTCAAATTATGACTGCCTGACAGGTGGGTTTTATATTTTACTGAAAACTATGCCCTACCCCGCCAACCTCTCCCAGAAAACAACCTCACAATCACAGAAACGCCACAGTTCTTTATTTCTACCACACTAAGTCACTTGAGTCGCTTGTGTTTGAAACAGACAAAGGTTAGGAGAGTAGAGAAAGGCTGAAGCCCTGAGCTTTCCAGGTCAGGGACTTACCGGTGTGGGAGCGCAGGTGGACGGTGAGCTGGCTGGAGTTGCGGCTGGCGTAGGGGCAGAGCTGGCATTTGTACGGCCGCTCGTCCGAGTGTATGCGCAGGTGCTTCTTGAGGCTGCTGCTGTCCACGGCGGCGTATTCGCACAGGTGACACTTGTGTGGCTTCACGCTGGTGTGGCATCGCATGTGCATGGTCAGGTTGTCCTTCCGGCTGAAGCACTTGTCACAGAACTCACACTTGTGCGGTTTGTCTCCTTCAAACACATAAGGATTTGGGGTTTTAAGGGTTTCTCAATCCAGATTATTAGAGAAATCCGACCAAGGTGAGAGCCTAAGCATATGGGCCTGCTTCCTCCTTCTGTCCACATACACAGAGGTGGAAAGGATATTGAAGTTGAAATCAGCATAATGAGAGAGAGGGATGGGTGCCATTCATCGATGGCTCAGAAACTGAGGAATCCTACGAGGCAGATTAAAGTCAGATCGATGGAGAAAATCATCAGCCAAACCCAGTTTGGGAAAATGGGATTGGATTGGTTATAGATGTCTCCTAGGTAAGGGGTGCTGGGTGTTGGGCTTTTAGGCTTCAGGCCACTGATTGATGAACCCCCTAGAGAATGTAGAGGTTAATCCCTTCCTTCTTCTCACTTCTATCAAACAGGCAGCGTGGTACCTCCTCCAGCTGTCAAGTAGATGAGGGTGCAGGGAAAGAATGCTGCACGGACGAGGGTCTGACAGCTGGAGACAAACTGGACAACAGAACCCCACGCCGCGAACATCTCCATCGAGCAGTGTGTTCCACTGCCATGTCCCCTGCACCGCTCCCTGTTGATCGTACCCAAATAAAAATTAGTCCACCCAATGGCCAAATGGGCTTGGGAAAAGCCCGAACCAGAAAGAAACACTTAACTCATGAAATTAATTAGGGTACACCAAATAACGGAAACTATGTAAATAACAACTGAACATCAAGATTTCTAATAAGTTGACATCAAAAAATGACATTAGGTGGCGCCTGTGGCTCAAAGGAGTAGGGCATCAGCCCCATATGCCGGAGGTGGCGGGTTCAAACCCAGCCTCGGCCAAAAACTGAAAAAAAAAAAAAATGACATTAGTGGACGCATGTCATTATCCATTTGTCCAAATCTGCAGAATGTACCACACCAAGCGTGAACCCTAATGTAAACCATGGACTTTGGGCAACATGTCAATCCAGATTCATCCATGGCTACAAGTACGCCGCTATGGTGGGGGGTGTTGATAACGGGGAAGGCTGTGCACACGGGGGGTGGGGGGGTGAGAGGGCGTAGAGAACACCTGTGCCTTCCGCTCATTAGGTTCACTTTGGTGGTGAACCTGAGACCCTTAAGACAAATTTATTAAAAGTCTTAGAAGTAGATGATAAAAACCCAGAGATCCCAGATATAAAACCATCCTCATATTGCCATCAGCTATTTTATCTGCTACAAAGCAGACAAAAAAACACCGGGAAAAGAATCTCTCTTCAATGAATGGTGCTGGGAAACTGGATAACCACAGGTCGAAAGCAAATGGGATCCACAGCTCTCACCACTCCCAAAAGTTAACCTGTGATGTATAACAGACCTGAAACTAGGACATGAAACTATAGGAGAAGAACAAGTTGGAAAAACTGTTACAGACATTGGCCTGGGCAAAGAATTTATGATGCAGACCCTAAAAGCAATCACAGCAACGCAAGTAAATATATAGGACTTGCTCAGATTAAAAACCTTCTACGTAGTTAAGGAAGCAAATATAAAAGGACAACGTAGGGCAGTGCCTGTGGTTCAGTGGGTAGAGCGCTGGACCCATATACTGAGGGTGGCGTGTTCAAACCTGGCCTGGGCCAAACTGCAACAAAAAATTAAAAAATAGCTGGGCGTTGTGGCAGGCATCTGTAGTCTCAGCTACTTGGGAGGCTGAGGCAAGAAAATCACCTAAGCACAGGAGTTAGAGGTTACTGTGAGCTGTGTGACACCACAGCACTCTACTGAGGGTGATAAAGTGAGACTCTGTCTCTACAAAATAAATAATAATTAAAAAAAGACTACAGAGTAGGAAAAAATATTTGTATGCTATACATCCAATAAAGGGTTGATAACCCGAATCTATAAAGAACTCAAGCAAATCAACAAGAAAAAAAAAAATCAAATAATCCCATTAAAAGTGGGGAAAAAAGGCTGGGCAAGGTGGCTCATTCCTGTAATCCTAGCACTCTGGAAGGCCAACGTGGGTGGATTGCCTGAGCTCACAGGTTCGAGACCAGCCTGAGCAAGTGCAAGACCCTGTCTCTAAAAAATAGCTGGGTGTTGTGGTGGGCACTTGTAGTCCCAGCTACTCAGGAGGCTGAGGCAAGAGAATTGCTTGAGCCCAAGAGTTTGAGGCTGCTGTGAACTATGATGCCATGGCACTCTACCCAGGGTGATCAAGTGAGACTCTGTCTCAAAAAAAAAAAAAAAAAAGTAGGGTAAAAAGCATGAAGAGAAACTTTTGAAATGCAGATAGACTAATAGCTGGCCGGCCAATAAACACATGGAAAAATGCTTAAGATCTCTAATCATCAGGGATGCAAATCAAAACCACACTGAGATATCACCTAACTTCAGTGAGAATGGTGTTTATCAAAATGTCCCAGAACAGGCTCAGAGCCTGTGGCTCAAGTGGCTAAGGCGTCAGCCACATACATCTAAGGTGGCGGGTTCGAATCCAGCCCAGGCCCACCAAAAACAACAATGATGGCTGCAACCAAAAAATAGCCGGGCGTTGTGGCAGGCGCCTGTGGTCCCAGCTACTTGGGAGGTAGATGCAGAAGACTTGCTTGAGCCCAGGAGTTGGAGGTTGCTGTGAGCTGTGATGCCACGGCACTTTACCCAGAGGAATAGCTTGAGGCTCTGTCTCAAAAAAAACAAAAAAACAAAAAAAGAAATGTCCCAGAATAAATGCTGCCACAGATGTGAAGCGATAAGAACACTCGTACACTGTTGGTGGGACTGCAAACTAATACAACCTCTATAGAAAGTACTACGGAGGCGCCTTAAGGAACTAAAAGTAAACCTACCATTTGATCCAGGAATCTGACTACTGGGTACTTACCCAAAGGAAAAAAAGACCTGTGCACTTGAATGTTTATAGCAGCACAATTCATAATTGCAAACATGTAGAAACAACCCAAGGGCCCATCAAGACATAACTGGATTAATACAGTGTGGTGTCTACATACAACACGGAGTACTACTCAGACGTAAGAAAGTATACGATGGAGAAAAGAACGTCAACTGTTCTCAAACCCTTTCTCCAGTCAGTGATTCCTATTACCCTTGCCATTCTAAGATTCTACGCGGCAAATAGAAATAAAACATTTTTTCTTGCTCTTCCTCCTTCTACCACCCACCTTATTTCTAATACGTTTGATAATTGGTTTTTCTTCTTCCAAGACAAACTAGCATTCAAAAGGTATCAAAAAGCAGCAATGTAACAGAATAAAGGCGATGAAAACAAGAACCAATTCAAGTTCAAGGCCTTGCTTTCAAAGACTTCTCTGAGGTCATCATAGCCCAGCAATCATAACTCAGCTGTTTTTAATTCACTTTCTGCCAAAATAAGTCCTCAGGGAGCCTGCAGACCAGCCACACGGGAGCCCTGTTCCTAGTCACTTTTTATTTGCTGTGCATGCTTCTGTCGTATGTGTCAAACTTGGTTCTCCAAGTGTAGTTGGTAGATGCCCAGGCGACCCCAAAACTTCTCTAGTTGGGCCTGTGGTCAAAACCATTTTAAAGATACTACACAAGGCCAGGCATGGTGGCTCATGCCCATAATCCTAGCACTCTGGCAGGCCAAGGCGGGTGGATTGCCCTGAGCTCACAGGTTTAAGACCAGCCTGAGCAAGAGTGAGATGCCTCCCATCCCATCTCTAAAAAAAATAGCTAGGTGTTGAGGCAGGCACCTGTTGTCCTAGCTACTTGGGAGGCTGAGGCAAGTGAATTGCTTGACTCAAGAGTTGGCAGTTGCTGTGAGCTGTGATGCCACAGGTCTACCACGGGTTACAAAGTGAGACTGTCTCAAAAAGAAAAAAAAGAAAGATACTAAACAATGACTGGCCTCTGTCCTGTCAACATTTGCACCGATGTAGGAGCAGTGGTGCAGGGGAGAACTGCGGGAGCCTCAGCACAGATCCGGGCAGTGGCACCTGCTCTCCCAGTAAGACGCACTCAGCACTGCCACCTGCTCCTGGAGAAAAAAGCCAGGTCCACTTAGGAATATCTTGGATGAAGCAGTAAAGTAAACTTGATCATATCTCTCCCTCTGAATAAGCCTTTTTAATGTTTTATGTGAGAAAACAAGAAGTGCACTTCAGATACTTCTGCGGCAAACCAAGTATATAGGTTTTATCGAGAAGACCCTTGTCTGATGGTTGCACTGCAAGTGGAACTAGCCTTTTCTCTCCATGCTGGTTTTTTTTTTTTTTTTTTTTTAAAGAGGCAGTTGGTTGGGGCAGGGGGAGAGGTTCCTATATTGTCCAGGTTAGAGCAAACTTCTGGGCTCAAGCAATCTTCCTGCCTTAGCCTCTTGGGTAAGCTGGGAAGCTCCATAAATCATCATTTTGACTTGAAATAATGATAAACTATGGCCTTTTCAGATTTGGTATAGGCAGAAAGTCTTAGACAAATTATCAGGGGTATTCAAACTTTTTAAACAGGGGGCCAGTTCACTGTCCCTCAGACTGTTGGAGGGCTGGGCTGTGGGCCTGGGACAAGTCAGCTGCTAAGCAAGACAGGCAGCAGTGGTAAAAATACCCGGCGGGCCAGATAAAATGTCTTCCGTGGGCCGCATGTGGTCCGCGGGCCATAGTTTGAGGACCCCTGAACTAGATGAACCTGCTACTTCAATGAAAATTGCCAGGAGTGTCAGTGATAACATTTAGGCCCTAGTGATAAAATTTCAGAAGACAGGCTCAGTGCCCGTAACGTAGTGGTTATAGTGCCAGCTACATGCACTGAGATTGGCAGGTTGGAACCCAGCCCGGGCCAGCTAAACAACAATGACAACTGCAACCACCACAACAAAAATAGTTGGGCATTGTGGTGAGCACCTATAGTCCCAGCTACTTGGGAGGCTGAGGCAAGAGAATCTCTTACGCCTAAGAGTTTGAGGTTGCTGTGAGCTGTGATCCCATGGCACTCTATTGAGGACAACAAAGTGAGCCTCTGTCTCTGTTCTCCTATTTCCCTTGGTAATAGAACTTTCTTTATAGCTGGACACATGGCCACACAGAAGACAGACTTCATTTTCCTGGCCTTCATTTCCACAGCTTTGGGTGGCCATATGACTAGGTTCTGGCCAAAGGGGCATGAACCCAAGTGATACGAATAATGTCCAGGATGTACCTTTAAGGTGGCAGTAAGCCATCTTTGAGCAGCCTAATGACCAATGTACCCTTAAATGGCAACACAACACAAGAGCCAAGGATCCTGCAACTATGGGGCTGCCATACCAACCTGGACCACATACACCTGTCCCATCATAGGACAGAAACGCTTGAGTTTTAACATACTGTTACTTGGGTATCCCTATTCTACTAGTCACAAGGGATGCTACTTCTGGGCCATACCCTGAAGGAGTGATCCTGTGAGCTCCCAGGCCCTCTCCTACTTTCCATTAGTTAAGTCACTTGGAGAAACAGGTTACTTCTGAGTCCAAGGTGACTGTTCTAAGTTTACATCTACTAGGGCAGGAGTTCTCAAACTTTTTAAACAGGGGGCCAGTTCACTGTCCCTCAGACCATTGGAGGGCTGGACTGCCGGCCCCGGGATGAGTCAGCTGCTAAGCAGGACAGGCAGTGGCAGCAAAAACACCCGGCGGCCCAGATAAATGTCCGAGGCAGGCCGCATGCAGCCCACAGGTCATAGTTTGAGGACTCATGTACTAGGATAATGGTCAGTCTACAACCCCTTATCTGCTTCTCTGATCCAAGGACAAGGTTGTGCCTTGAACTTCCTATATCCCTGGAATGCTCTGAAATACTTCAAAAGAACATTAATCTAGCCCCTGTCCATCTAGATCAACCTTGGCACTATCCAGGCTGTTAATTCTTTGCTGTAGGAGCCATCTTGACCATTGTAGGATTTTGGCAGAGCCTCTGGCCTCCACCCACTAGATGGTAGTAGCATAGCCTGAGTCAAGAACAACTGCTCAAGAACCCTCAGGACAGAGTTATGCATTTTGAAGCTTCCTAAACTGGTGCACAGTGTTGGCAAGAACTCTTGCTTTTGTCTTCAGTTGGCTCCTGCAATCCATATCTCTTACGGACATCGTTATGCTGGCAGCTTTATCTTTTGAGGATAAGTGCAAACGTTTCCTTACTAGCAGGCCTTCCATGCTGCACCCTCCCAGCAGACCCGCCCTCCCTTCTCTCATTTTACAGCACAGGGTGCCCATCCCCGGCAGAGGCTACTAGCTCTGTCTTCCCCATCGTAGAGCTCCCAAGTTCCAGCTGGGTGTGGCTGCCTTTCTCAAGCCCCTTCCCAGCCTCCCTCGATGCTTAGTGTGACCAGGCCCCACTGTCGCCTCTCCAGATCACAAGGGATGTTGCTTCATAACCCGCCGGAGGGGGGCGTGATCTCCCAGGCCCCACTCATGTTGCCCTAGATTTGGGGACCTAGAGCAGCTGCCTGACACCCAGAGGTGAAGCCCCGTGTAAAGGATGGCAGAGCCATCCGACCAGCTACCTGTAGACAACTGGCTTCTGAAGCTGTAGTTGAGAAACAGACCTGATTATGTTTAAGCCACTGAGTGGAATTTCTGTGAAAAGAAACCAACATCCTTGCTCACGCAGGCAAATAGACAGTTCATACTATAGAGTAGGGCGTGGCAAAGTTTTATTAAGGACTGGATAAACATTTCTGGCTTTGTGTGCCTCATACAGCCCCTACAGCAACCACTTAACCCTGCTGCTGTAGCACCAGGTCAGTCTCAGACAAACAGAGGCAGGTGAAGGCAGGCTGGAGTCGGCCCATGGGCCACACAGTTTGCAAACTACAGATCCTGGCGTTTGTTCCTTTGCTTCACCAGGCCTTATTTCTCTTTTATCAGCAGCTGGTTGCCTTAGAAAAAGAGCTCCTTTCAGAAGCAACCTTATGGCTCTTCTACCGCCTCTCTGTGGCTCATTCTCTGCCAATCTCTTCATTTTTATTTCACAGCCCGAGTGATCCTCCTCCCAAGCCCACTTCCCTAGAGTAAGTTTTACGGGGCAGATAAGACTGTCTTGCTCATCTGTGTCCCCAGCACTGAATCCACACACCCACATTCTTGTTTTCTTACTGAGCCGTGGAGCAAACGAAGGTATAACCTACCTGTGTGGATTCTTAAATGACGGTCCAAATCTTTCATGCCGTGAACTGTTTTGAAGTGGCAACCTAGGACAGGAGAAAAATACAGCTCTTCTGAGAACATAGCCTGGCAGGGGCAGGAAGCGACTGGGAGCCTGATGTTGTGGCGAGTTGCATGCTGAGCTCTGGATGGTACGGGATTCTCAGGACCCACAGGGAAGGCTGTGTGGACTCACGTAGATGCCCAGGAGTTGTGGACACACAAGAGGGACCTGAGGATTCCGTGAGAAGCAGCGCTGGGTACAGAGAAGGGGCTCAATGCCTCAGGTTTTATTCCTTACCTGGATAGCAACAGTTGAATGTCCTTTCTCCAAGGGTGGCTGTCTGTTCCCTCGGCTCTGAGGGAAGGGTGATGTCAGGGGCCTTCTGGGAGTCATCGCTTTCAGCAGAGATGCTGGTTGGTTTGGGGCCATCGTTATCTAGTTCTGAAGCTGAAATTGAAGCATGAAGTTTTAGTTTCTCCAATGGAACCACCACGGTAAGCCTCAGGCTATAGTACATTTGGGTTCATGTCACCTTTTCCCACCACTTCCCTAAGAAATTAAAAACAGCAGCCATGTACATCCTAGTCTTGCAAGTCTTCCTCCAGTGACAACTTCCGAGAAATGGAAGGGACAGAAGGACATAATAACACAACGGGGAGGCAACTGGGAAAGTCCGGACTAATAAGCTTCACGACATTTGAGTGCTTCTCAAACAACATGAAGACGCCTTTTTTTCCAAACTTCTGATCCATCCTAGGCTAATACTTTTGTAAACATAATAAACGTCAGTTAGGAGAAAACTGAAAAGCCAAAAAAGCCAAACATTAATACAACAGAAAGCTGGATGTCGTGGCAACGTCAAACTGTTTTCGCCCCCCCCCCCAATCCTTATTCTCCATTTCTGATTC